GGGTGTCAAAAATAATCATGGGAGAAACAGGCATTGATCTCCATTTTATTGTATAATCAATTAAAAAAGGACTTAATATGTACTATATAATGGAAATGGAGGATATCTGCCATGCAGTGGCATATGACCTCTTCCATGATACTTTATTTCATGTGACATGCAACATGCTCTGCTAGAGTTTTCAAAAGTTTCCCTGGTATTCTTCGCAAGAAAAGCCTTGAAAAGATTATATCACAAAGGAGGGGAGAAAGGGATGAACTTACCAGTTTTTTAACATGAACAAAAAGCAAGATACTATCATTATCATTATTTGCCATTATCTCTTCCATACTCATCACAAACTCTGCATTTTCACAACATTAATTATGATATTAATCCAAAGAAGATCTACACTCAACACAAACTTTGCCCCTCCTGGTATCAAAACAAATAAATGAAAACTGTACATTTGTTTTTCATCTTTTCACGTTTCAATGAAGCTGATTTTTGTTGATCAAGAGACTTAATATGTATTATTAACAATATTTTAATATCATCTTATTTACATTACTCAATGAATCATATATAACCAAATTTATAAATAAAGAGTTTTAATTAAATTGGATAATTATTAACAATATTTTAACTTATCGATCCACCCTGGTCAACAAAAAAGCATTACGGCTATGTACTTAATTTCCATTTTTTTAAAATAATTCCATTAAAAAATTATTATTACTGAATATTCATGAGCATATTTTTATTTTATTTTTTATATATGAGATATATAATTGTCATATACAAGTTTCAACGCTAGCGGCTAGTTTATAAAGACAACAGAACCACATAGAAAGACAGACCCTAAAAAATCTGATACATGTCGACGCAGCATCGTTTTAACTTCAGCCCCATTCTAAATCCTCGCCTGGTCTCTTTAATTGGGTTTTTTTCCCGTTTCTAAAATGTTCGGCCACACGTGTTTATGTCTTGCAAGCGTGGGCTAGCTCGTTTCCAAGCCTAGCACATGGGCCTGCCTGGTATAGTTAAGTCTGATGTCGGTCCATGCTTCCTAAATACATTTTCATGTTGCTCTATGAAAAATCCAGCACACCCATCATGTGAATTTTTTCCAAAATCCACCAATTTTTATTTTTTATTTAATCACATAAAAAAATTAAAAATCTTGGATATTCGAATAGTTTTTGTTTTTCTACACTGACCTTGGTGTATCTTACAAAACTAAAATAATATGTTTTTTTATTAATAGAGATACATGGCATCAAAATATATTCCCAGGCTTTAAAGGGATACCAAAAGTTAGTGGCATCAAAATATATCCCCAGGCTTTAAAGGGATACCAAAAGTTAGAAAGAAGGAGAGGACACAGCACAGAATTTTATTTATTGAATCTGTGAAGATCCCCCGTCGAAAGGCCTCAGTAATATACATAAGAGTCGATCGTGATGATGTGCACAATGGAACTTGTAGCGAGCTAGAGTAGTTAATACTTATTTTCCGGCGAAGGTTGTCCTTTTAACGAACCTCCCTTTCATCCTGGGCCTCTTCTCTGCATTCAATTTCCTGACCTCGTATCTTATTTTCTTGGAGAACAGTCTTGTTCTCCGCTTCTCTCTGTACCTGGATACTCTAGCTTCTCGCCCTCCGTCCACCAAAGCTGCAGGGTGTGCCGCTAATCCACTCACATCTCCATAAGGTTGATGAAGTTGGGCTCCGCAAATACCCTGAAAAATCCCGATGCAGGGTCTTAAATTAGGGAAAATACTACAATTATCGCTCTGTGATAGGCTAATTCAAAGTTCGAATCCCGTTATGCAAGAAAATGTGAAGAAAGAAAGATTAATCCAGCATTGGAAGTGAGAGATTGTTAAATAAATCTGGTTTACCATTCTAGATCTGAACCAACTAATCACAATGACCATGGTCATACGATAAGAAAAATATTAAGGTGGAAAACGATTATGTTTTTTAATATAACTAAATTGTTATGTTCCTCTGAAATTAATTAGTTGGTTCATTATCATATGGATAAATTGAATTCACCTAATTAATAATTTCTTCATTTAGAAAAAGATTTCTTTGCTATTTATTTTTCCAAAAACGGAAACATATAAAATAAAGTACAAAATCTATAATTAAATAATGAACAAAACACACGTACTTTGAACACAGGATCCTATTTTAGTGAGCAAACAATGAAACAAATTACCAGCGATGAAAATAAAGTATCTTACCATGCAGTCAGGCCAACATTCATCAGAGTCGAAAATAAAATATCTTACCATGCAGTCAGGCCAGCATTCATCAGCGTCGAAATCGGGCCTATAACCGTTAGTCCAGGGAGACCCCTGGCTTGCCCAAGCAGTCATGACAGCGTCATAATCCAGACTCAGGAGTGTTCTCCTCTTCTTCTTTGCACCACCATCATCTTCATATTCCCCATCACTGTTCTTCAAGTCTCCCTCTTCAATCCCTACCTTCTCATCTTCCTCGTCACAAGTTGCAGGGGAGTCATAGTCAAAGCTCAACTCAAAAGGCGGATCTTTTGCAATATCAATCTCAATATCAGCATGACATTCCCTAACATCTTTTTCTTCCATGCCTGCATCCTCTTCCTCTTCAACCTTCACCTTTCCCTTGCCTAAAGGATACCCTTTCACCCCCAACTCGTTTTCTTCTTTACAGTCCATAAGTCCCAGCTCCTCCATCCCAAAAGACTCATTTTCAAGACCCCTACCAAGCAAACTCTCCATATCAGCTGCAAACTCTGCAAGATCCATATCAGATGGTAGAAATCCATGCAAACTCTCAACATCCTTCCCTTCACTACCTCCTAACAAAACCTTTGATTCGGTTCCACTAGAATCAGCAGCTCTTTGATCAGTATCAGTACCACCGTCTGGTACTACTGCTCCCGCTTCATTCGAGACTGTTGTTGAAGTGCATAATTCAGCAGCAAAAGGGTCAAAGATTGGAACCCTATACAGCAGATGCTCTTCTTCATTATCTTCAAGCGATATCTCATCTGAACCCACTTCAGGCACTAGTGGAATAGGAATATTCCTTTTTGTCTTTTCAATTTTTGATTGAGACACTGGCTTGCCATGTCTTGGTGTCCTGGCTTTTCTAGTGAACCCCCCGTGCCATGATGGCATAGAATTCTCTTGCGAACCTGCGCCCGAAGATTTATGCGATGCGGACTTTAAGCGAACCCTTTCATGTCTACGTGCTAATAGATTCGCAGAGTGAACGGAAGAGTCACAGGCTTGGCAAAGAAATGCATCATCAGCTGCACAGTACCATCTAGCACGTTTTTTTATACAGCTATCACAGGCTCTGGCAGTTCTGCCACCAACAGCGTTGGCTAAACTTTTGTTGCAAATCATGAGGCTGTGTTTTTATTCAAGAAACAAAGTTTGAAGCCAAAAACAAGGGAGAACGAAAAAATGAAATCAACAAAACTAGGGAATCGAGAAAGCAAAAGGGTTCCCAGAAATTAATCATTGGGTCATTGTGATTTTTATTTTTTGTGTTTTTTCAGTTCTTGGACCTCACAGTGGCTCAATAATTTGAGTATATTAGAGGGTGTGACCCACAAGGAGCGCTTTTGATGTCCAGTTAACAGGATGGGGCTCGCCCTTTATTTATTTTGGATTCACTTTCTGGGAGACTCCCACATAGAAAGTCGTTTGCACTTTTAGGACCACAACAACAAGGCCTTATCTACTTTTTTATTGGTTGAGTCTGTAAAGATTATCCTATTTTATGAGTTCTAACTGGCTGCCAATCACGTCAAGGGATTTTCGGTGGGGTCAGGAGAGGTGGCAAGGATGAGATTGAGTCTTCTAGAGCCCATCTCCTGCATTATCTTCCCTCTTCACCCAACAACTGGAACGTGAAGGACACCCTTTTGTCGGCATGTTTCCCTGCTCCATGTTATAATAATTGCTTGAATATCCGATAAATGAAAAAAATATATATACAACATATAAAAAAGAGAGAGAGAGAAGTTTTGTTGTACTTTACAGAAGAAAAGATTTAGAGAGAATATATATATATGGGACTTGAAATTTGACATTAGGAAAAATAAATAATTTTCATTTTCACTATTAATTTAATTTAATTAATTAATTTTTAGAATTAATTAATTCAATATACATGATACTTCCAGTTATTTTTTTAATTTGACTGAAAATTTATATTTTAAATTATATAGTTATATTGGTCTAGAGATTTGCCTTTAAATCTCTCTGTATATATTAGTTTGAAAAGGCATTATTTTTTTTATAAATATCAATTTAATATAAAAAAATAATTTAAAAAATAGTCTTATTTTTCTATTTTTTCTATATAAACAATCTGTTTATATATATAGAAATAAAATAGAAATTTTTTTAAAAAATATAAATTATTATCTATATGCTTCAAAGCTATGCTTTATGTATATGCGTGTATGTGTATGTTGAAGGTATATTTATTAATACCTTGAAGATTAAACAAATATAACAGGGATAATTAATACCTCGAAGACTGTAATCATGCCTCAAAATCTTCTTGAGCCCTGGCACATTATATATTGTTAATTAAATTATGCTAAATAAAAATAAACTCAAGGGTGATGCTAAATAATATATATAATTATAATGAGTTTATTAAATTGTGAGAAAGTATATAAACATGTGAAAAAATTATATCGATCTAAAAATTTAAATTATTAAATAAGATTTTAAGATATGATTTATATTATTTTTTAATATGTTCCTTTAAATGATAAACTTTTAAACTTGAAATTTACATAAATTCATATTATATTATATTTAATTTTTATCAAATAAATAGGGGTTGTGAGATTAGAACTTGTAACCAACACTTAGTCATTAGAGTTTTGATACCATGTCAAAGAACCTTTTCAATTAAAAAACTTAAACTATTATATAAAATCTTGAAATATGATTTATATTATTCTCCAATACACCCCCTCAAATGAAAGCCTTTTAAATTTAAAACTTATATGGACCAAAATCACGATATGCTTGATTTTTTATGGCTTTTACTTACATAGACTCACATTACATTATGTTTAATTTTTTATCAAATAAATAAAGGATGGTGATCACAAGTTATTAAAGATTCTAATATTATACAAAAAAATCATCTCAATCTAATAATTTAATCTTAACCTGTTAAATAAAATTTTAAGATATAATTTATATTATATTTTAATATAATATATAACTCTTTATTTGCAATGAAATTAATTTTCATAACAGAAATTATAAATAACACACCTATACGAGTCAAAGAATTTGCTATTGATAAGTTAACTATAGAAAATACGACAATAGAAGTCCCGCAACGAGGGGGCCTTCGACTAGCTAGAAAATAACGGCCAGGTTTCCTCGTGTATTTGTTCCGGTGCCTATTTATTGTAAGATAATATGTAGTTGCAAATCCGAACTCCAATATAAAAAATTATCAATTAGTAAAATAGACATCATGACCACTACTACAGGATAAAAAAAAAGCACGAAAATAAATATATTTATATTGGAGTTTCAGAAGTCATTATTACTTGTCATTATTATCTGACGGTCTATATGCCAAGCGCAATAAAAATCCAATCGCATTCGGCTTACTTTCATTTTCTGTAGTGCAGGATCTGAAAGAGAAAAAGGGTGGGTGAGTAAATAGATATTTCCACATAGCATGCATATACATGACTTTTTATTTTTTATTATTAATGCCTAATTGTTGTACAATAAATAATTGCCAAATTCGAACTTCATCGATTTATATTTTTCTAGGAGAGAGTCTCATTGAGCTAAATTCGTAGCTCCACGTGTGTAAGGGAGATTACAAACTACAGAACATATCAGTTAAAAATTTATAATCATGCAGGAAAAAAAATCTAGACAAACTTGATAAAATTTGTTGCTGGGTAAATATTAAGGGTTTGAGGTGAATATTATTTTTTTAAAATATTTTTTATTTAAAAAATTTAATAAAATATATATTTTTTATTTTTTAAAAATTTATTTTATGAACTAGTATATTAAGATGATAAAAAATATAAAAAAATCAATTTAAAATTTAAAATTTAAAATAATTGAAAATATGATTAAACTATAATGTCAAATAAAGCAAATAATAATAAAAATAATGGATAACAATGACGTGGTGGCATTGTAATTATGTTTTCAAAGAAAGTGTCCGATGGTTGATTTTTAATGTATTTTTTTATTTTAAAATATATTAAAATATTTTTTATTTTTTAAAAAATATTTTTAATATTAATATATCAAAAATTTAACTCTTGCTCACAAAATTGACTGCAATTCCGATGGAATAGCGACACCTATATAAGATGAAAAGGATCACTTAATTTTATTCAAGCTAAGGAGAGAAGGAATGTGTGACAGGGTTTGTGTTATCCTGAGGTGATAAGTATCACATACGTGTTATTTTTAGATAATTACGTAGGAAGGTTGGCCTACAAAGACTTCTCAAATTTTATCTGTCAGATACTGAGGCTAAACTCGATTTAGTCTTTCTCAAGATTCAAGATTCAACATTTAAAGCAATAAGATAACGTTTGATGTTTGATGGTTGCTTCTGCTTTACTGGCTAACAAAATAGTTTTTTGTTTTTTCACCGTACTCCATATATAATTATATTTTAAATTTTAATTTTATATAACTAAAATAGTATATTTTTCATAAAAACCTGTTTTTTTTGTTTTTTTTTTTGCATGTAAAAATTTGTTATATTTTTCATAAAAACCTGTTTTTTTTTGCATGTAAAAATTTATCTTGTAGTAGTTTTATTCAAATATATATTTTTAAAATTTTATTTTAAAAAACAGCAACTAAAAATATTTTTTAAAACCATAATAATAAAAATTACCACAATACAAAATAAACAATATAAAATAAACTTTTCCTGTCTTCCCATGTAATTGTGCCTTTTTTCTAACCTAGATCAGTTCAGGTGTTGCTATTAGAAAAAATAAAGTCTTAGAAATAACGTTTTGATGAGAAGAGGGAGAATTTTACAACAAGTTAGGAGTTTTAAACATAAAGTTTCCATGAAAAAATGCAGTATTTTGCATAAAGTTTGAGTATTTGATTGTTCTCGTTGTTAAAATCATGCTTCGCTTAAAAGAAATTAATCAAAAATATGTGATTGAATTGTTTTTTATTTAAAAAATATTTAAAATTTATTTTTCATGTCAACATGATAAAATATTTGAAAATAAATAAAATAAAAATTTTAAAAACCACGTTTTCAACGAAGCAACAATCACGGCCTCACTCAAAAGTTAAATCGCCACGAATTTTAAATGACTAGACTTCTGACAGGCTGACATGAATAACATAATTATATTGTTTTTTTGTACGTGCAAGGAAGCCATGTCAATATTTAAAAATGAAAGACAAGGAATACGGTTATATCATAATTAATGCTCGCGGAGAAAAAATATGATGAGAAGGTTAAAACCGAATTTACATACCGACATGACTCATTTTACGATCCAATAAGAGAAAAGAAAAGGAGAAAAGGTGTTTTATAGCTTAATTATTTTATATATATATATATATATATATATCTAGTTTTAGTCCTTTTATTTTTTATATATTTTCGAATTTATATGCATGTAACGTCTCCTTTAACGTGATTCTTTAGATTTGGGTTTGTGGCCATGGGTCGCATTTTCATACCTAACTTTTAGGTAGTCTTTTTTATCAAAAATTCCGAATGAAGGCCCGATCATCAACCTACAAGAGGGAAGCAACCTTCCTCCATCTTGCGTAAATTTAAACCTTAAACTCAATCTAGATTTTCAAAATTTTAATTATACAAAGCTATCCTTCTGGAGAGTACGATTTAATAGGTGTATTATATATATATATATATAATTAAATAAATCAAGTAGTCATTAAATAAAATGACTCAAAGTAAAAGTTTTGAATAGTAATTTAATATAAATCAGAATCAATACATTAATTTCAGTAAAATTAGAATTTGAATCAATTCTATCTCAAACTTTCTATTCAAATCAAAATTAACTTATAACTTTTCTTTCTTTTGAGTTAAAAATTAAGAAAGAAAAGAAACCTTAATTTTTTGTGCTTGGGCTTAGTAAACAAGTATTTGGCTCGTCACAATTTAAGCTTCAAATCGAATAAAGCCCAAGTAAGTTTTTTGAATCCTAAGACTTGGTCCAATCTTATAAGCCCGTCTTATTAAGAAAATAAAATAGAGAGAAAAAAAAAGAAGCAAAGGCAAATGTGTCATCAAGAAACTCCCTCGTATCGGTGTGCATAGGTAGTTTTGACTTTTAAGAAAACAAGCACTCCTCCCCCCCTCTCTCTCTATTGCAGTCGAGGCGGAGACTATTTTGAAGCAGCACCACCACCTTTCCTCTCTATAACAAGTAAGTTGATCGATACTAATCACTGATAAGTCTTTTACTAGTACTTTCTATCAATTCTTGAAATGACGTCGTTTATTAGTAATCGTTGCTTCTCCCTGACTTAAAAATGGATATCCTTGCCTTCAATTTTACTTCTCAATAAATCAAGTCATTCGTGTTGTTTATGATTGATGTTAAAACTATCATTTTACTTTTTTTTTTAATTACTCGGTAATATAATTTGTGCAAAGTTTTTTTTTTTAAAAAAATTGTTATAGGAGCAGGAACTGGCTTGTATTCACTCTGAATGACCCATAAGGATTCATATAGCAAACCTGACTAGTTCAAGATTAAGACTTTAAAAAGCAGGATCACTAGTATGATTTTCGTGTTCTATGAAAAATAGGAAACAAAATCTTATAATTCATTTTCATGCTTTGAAATTGCATAATTGTAATGAGATAAGAAGTCTCAAAATGTTGTTTGAGTTAAAGCATATCCATGGATTTTATTCAAAGCAATTGTAACCTTTATGGCGTCAAGCACCAGATTTATTTGTAGTTGAACTGAGTTAGGTGTTATTTTGACTATCATTGATTTTGGACCTTTAGTTTGAGGTACATATTTCCAATGATTGGCCTAAGAGAGTCACTCCTTGAAACACTTAAAAAAAAATCTGAGTCCTTTATGACCCATATGATGATTCTCTCCTGATTGTCTCAGTTAATTTTGATGTTATCTAGACTATACTAGCCTACTTTTAATTGTTAACTATCTTCTTTGTATGAGTTTCAAGCCTTCAGCTGGGACTGTTGCTCTAGCAATAATTTAATATCGTACCTTCCATATTTAGAAAGGTTTTGAGACAATATCAAAGCTTATAATATGTTAAAGAAAATTTGAGTCGTTTATGAACTGTATGGTGATTATCTCCTGGTTATCTTAATTATTTCTGATGTTATTCTCGAAATACGCCAGGCAGCCTAGATTAAAAACTTTCCTTGAGCAATAATTTAAATTTTAGGTTGTTATTTCTTTTTGATATGGTATCAAAAGAATTAAAATTTTATAGGTTATTTTTTTAATTAAAATATAATGGTATATAGAAGTGAGGGTTTGGTTAAGTTTTAAGCTCAAAATATTAACTTGAGAGAGTGATATTAATACAAAACTATTTTTAAGATGTCAATCGATAAATAATGTTCTCAAAAGGAGTACTCTATTGCTCTTACGTTTTTTTTTCCATGCACAGAGGGTAACATGGGCGGACTCAAAATTTCGTTGGGCCATCGCTTATTGATGACAGTTGTGAATTCGGCACAAACCACAGAGGCCATGATGACGGCTTGCTAATTTAAGCCTCGTTTATAAGTTGATGGATAAGAAGCGCGAAATAAAAAACACGAGTTTTCAAGTCCATGGCTCAAGGATTGCATGTAACAAGAGCAGGAATTTGTTTCACCATTTAGATTTATATCGTGACTGGTTCAGTCTTCTTTGACTGCTCAATTGAGTTTGTTTCCAAACGGCGAACAATCTAATTTTTCTACTCCCGCAGGGTTAGAGTCGGGCAGCCCAGAGTCCAAGGATGTTTTCGCAGAGGGAATCTCCAATGCTTTTGCATGTCCGTACTGGGTGGTGGCAATGGGACAGTGACGATGTCATGAGCGTGATATGTCTGGGGGGACTGCATTTGAACAACCACAGCTATATGGGACTGTAGTGACACCACTACAGCTGTTTCATCTCGGAAATAACTTCTGCTGATGGTATAAGATTTTGAAAGCCAGAACTTTTGCTGACACCAAGTTCATCCGCATAGCATTCCATTGAACAGGTTTCTCGCTTTCGTTTTGAATCTCCTCCAAACAAACGCGTTCAATTAGGAAAGGCAATTCTCAAAATCATATTCTGCTTACAGTGGGTGTCAGTCAAAAACCTGGAATGCGTAACATATTTAGATGGATCTGACAACTTGTTAATTTTCAAATCCATTGACTACTAAAGCATGCAGTAAAATCAAGTTGTAAGAATTGCAAAGAGGGTTCTACATTGGTTTCTTCTGGTGCAGAAATAATTTCAAGGGATGGCGAATTAGCATAGCAAACTCAGCTAAACAAGGAATATAGAACTACAAAAGGAGATAAATAAATAAAAGCAGGCATCTAATGTTTAATTATGGTGGAAATACAATAAGAAAATGTGTAGCTATCCTCCAAATACTAAGATTCCAGGCCAGCCCTACGACTGCTTAGGGTCCTTTAAAACTTTTGAAATGGCTTGAATAGTAGAGGGTGTTGTCCGACAACAGCCTCCAATGAGGCTAGCTCCTAAGTCGTGCCATCTTGTTGCGAAGAACTCGAATTTATCATCATCAAAACAGGTTGATGGCTGTGGATGCACAGCATAATAGGAAAGTAATTGATAAATGAAACACAATTTGAAATAAAAATAGGAAAGTAATTGATAAATGAAACACAACAATCGTATACAAATACAGATGTAATAAATAAATTTTAAGAAAATGATAATTTGAAATAAAATTATTTTTTTTTTGAAAAAAAAAAGAATTAGCCACCAAAAGGACTTACCAGCCATCTTTTAGCTCTGCCATCCCATACCTCGCCGCTATTCGGATATACAACTATTAACTTTTCAGTCAACTGGAAAAAAAAAAAAAAAACAATATAGTACAAAACTATTCAGACAGCTTCAGAAAAACAAATGCTGTATTCCATTTTGTTTAACATTTACTTAAATCTTGAACAGAGAAATAAATTGCATTATTGCATTTTTTATTTTATTTTATCATTCAATGATTTTTTCCGTGGTTCAGTCATACCTCCTTAAATTTGCAGATGAGACTTTCAATAAAATGGGGAGGCGCACAATTAATTCCAACTGCTTTTACTCTATCACTCTTATTTATGGCCTCAAGGCACTGCTGGAAGCTCTCTCCAGATGGGGCATTCTCACCATCCACGCAACTGAAGCAAATCCAAGATGGAATATTGATGTTTTCTTCTTCAAGTAACTCAACACAGGCCTGAAATTGTCAATTCAGATGCTATATCAAGAGGCAGAACATAACGAAGACGGTTGAGGTTAGAATTAGAAAATGTTCTCTTCTTTTTTTGGGCGAACAACCACTAAAATACTTTCAATTCATGATAAAGACATTTCACCAACCATAGAAAGAGTAATGCAACAGAGAAACTTTCTCTTTGGTATCATCTTAAGGATCTTTTCCAAATATTACTCTAGGCACAATAGGCAAATAATGAACAGAAGTCTCAAAATCTACATGTAAAAGCTATTGATTATCTGCAGCGGTATTCCTTTTGATATATGAACTCTTGCTCATGGTTATCTACTGCGTTGTCAATTTGATTACACAAAAATTGTCATTCCCCAGATGTTACACAGACAATTACCCTGCCACAGTGCAGCAAAGTATGGACTGACAATAGGAATTGAGGATAGTTGTGCGTGCAAACCAAAGACTCATGATAAGTTGTAAGGTCCATCCATAAAACTCAATTGGACTTCAAGAAGCACATAATAAAGTTTATATTTTGCAGAGTTTCATGCTTCTGTCAAGAAAAAAAAATAACAAACATGACAACTTAGCAATAAGTTTCCTAACAAAACAGAGCAAATATGAAAAGTTGCTCATGAGGCTAGTTGAGAATTATGATCTTGTGGAATGGCACAAAATGATCAACACAGCCAACCCCAGCTAGTTTATCGAGGCTTGGTTGCTGCTGCTGCTCATGAGGCTACTTCAGAATTTTAAGATGCAGAGAATCCTAGCTATTTAAATGTTAATAAAAGAACTTGCATTCGCAAGAAGAGACAATGATTTGGCCCCAAAATTCAGAATATTTTCAAAAACATGAATTGTGCTCCGTAATTTTTATCAACTTAATAATTTTATATATGTGACACCTTAGAAAGCAGAAATGGAAGAAGAACGAACCTGGGCTTCAAGTTTATTGGGAATGGTCTCAAAGGCCAGCAAATCCGGACTTGCTTTAACCAGAACTTGCAACCTCCGCCGATGGAAATCCTTCAGCTTTTCCAGATTCACATCTGGTCCATAACACCCACTGGAATCAAATAGCACACTCACATTCAAAAGGGGCAAATACAAAAAAGACGTTGAAAACCTGAACTTGTCAAAACTTATCCAGAAAAGCTTCAGAGAAATAAGTATTTTCCAAGGCACCTGTACTCAGAGCCGTCAGCCAGATAAGCTCCATAGCTTCCAATGGAGGCTGCAACCAAAGCTCTGTTATAACTATGCCCAGGATTCCTTTCCACAGCATCCCAGAACTTATTACGGGCTTCAACAGCCAATGTAACACTTTTCTTCAATAACAATTCTCCTTCTTCAGCGGATAATCCCCTGGACAAGAATCCTGGAAGTGTGGCCTATAAATATAAGATGAATCCAAGTAAGATAAAGAGGAGGTAATTAAAAATGAAAATTTTAAATTTAGTCCAAATTTTTTTCACCAGCAAATAATTAAGAGTACGACTAATTGGCTAAGTAGAATCAAGCACATAATAAATTGACCACGACAAGAAGTCAGTGTAAATTATGAATCCAACCAGCCTTTTCTTTCTTTCTTTCTTTCTTTCTTCTTGATCCACTGGCTAAAGAAATCTATGTTTCTTTTGTTATGCCATCATTTTTAAAAGACATAAATTTACAACATTAAAATTTGATCAAATTCATTGCAGGTGCAACAAACCTGGTAAGAAGAAGTGACCAAAATGTCTGCACCAGCCTCTAAATATTCCAAGTGAACCTACATCATATTAATAAAGAGAAAGAAAAAAAAACTTTGAAAAGGATTTAAAAAACAGAGCCCGTTATTCATATACGATCAAACAGTATATAAAAAAATAAGACGACAATGTGTGTTGGGAGATAACAAAAGAGAGAGAGACCCGCTTGATGAGGTCAGGATCTTTGATCAAACAGAGAGCACTCCAAAGAGGGTCGTTAATGGTTGCGCCGTGTCTCTCAAGCTGGGTGGCGAATCCACCGTCGATAACCGCGCAGCCTCCTGCCTTCTTTATTAGATCCTCCAACAATGTTATTGCCTTCTGGAAACCCATTTCTCCCTGGAGCTCTCTCTCTCTCTCTCTCTCTCTAGATATTGGGTTTACAAGGACACATACACCTTGACAGAAGTATTTAATGGCGCCGGTGATGGAGGAAAGGGGGTCTTTGTTAGCGTTTTTTTTTTTTTTTGAACGCGGACGAAATAGCATACAGGTTCACTTTTTACTTCCCTTTTCTTTTAAAACAAAAAACAATACCCTTGGGCTTGGTCTTCAAAAAAAAATTTATTTTATTTTCTTCTTCTTTTATTTCAAATTTCAGCTTTAATATAGTTGGAGCTCAAGTTTTTCTAGATAAAAGAAAAAAAAAAGTAGGGTGATGTAGATTCAATATTAAAATATGAGATAACCTTCTTAGCTTTTATTTTGATTTTTATTTTTGTACGAATAAACTAATTTACCAAGCTCCAGCTTCTTAGCATTGTCTCGGTAAAAGTCTCTAGTAATTTGTTGGTAAAAGTCCAACAATGAGACTACAGATTTCTTGGCGACTGGTCAACCAAAGCAAAAAATTCTTGGCGTGATCAAAGATGTGCATGACATCTGTCAATATTGTGTTATTAGGGAGCGGGAACATCTTCTTGGTCGCTTGTCATTAAAAAATGTTTGTTTGGAAACAGGTGGAAATCATACTTTTTTAAAAATTTAATTTCTTATTTAAAATTATTTTTTTCTATTTTTAGATTATTTTAATGTATTTATTTCTAAAATAATTTTTAAAAATATTTTATTTTAATATATTTTAAAATAAAAATATTTGAAAAAAGAATAATACATACCCCAACAATTATGCTACCAAGTTTTTAATATCAGTTTTTTTATTAATATGAATATTATATATATTTTAATTAATTTTATAAATTTTAAAATTAATAATTATATAAATTTTTAATCATCACTCTTAAAAAAATAAATTTAAAGTTAAGGTATTTTTTATATTCTTCAATGCCAATTTTGTCCTGTCTAGTTGATGTCCGGCGACAATGGTAATATATTGACAGTCCTCAATTTTGTGATTTACTTTATTAGTGGAGGAGACATTAATTATTATATTTATGTCGACAAATTTTCTGATACCGCAACCAATTACATCACATCAATAGATATATTACTTAAGAGGTCGATAGATGGACACAGGCTATCAGAAATGATGGTCGAAAAGTTCGTCTGATAATTTCTAAAAATTTTATTATTATCCTAGTTGTACTAATTTTATAAGTTATAAAATTAATAATTATATAAATTTTTAATAATTTTAAAATTTTTAAAATTTTAACTGATAATTTTTAAAAAATAAATTTAAATTATACCCCTTATATAGTAATTCCTAAATTAATGTCTCTGCTAGAAGTAAATTGATGTGTCTGCTACAAGGCAGACGGACCAGCAAATCTACAGCCAATTGATGTCAATGTACTGACATTTTCTGCAACTTTTCATTCAAAAGAGTTGACGTAGATTTTTTTATATTTTATAAAATTTAATTTTTTTTACTTTTTATTTATTTTAAATTAATATCTTTTAGGTGTTTTTAAATTATTTTGATATATTAATGTTAAAAATAAATTTTAAAAACTAAAAAAATTATTTTGATATATTTCTAAATAAGAAATATTTTAAAAAATAATTATAGTTATATTTTTAAATTAGCTTAACCCAATTAAAAAAAGAAGAAGGTAAAGCCACAAGATGAGAGAGAGGAGGATCTGGAGAGGCAGGGCGAAAGGGCACAGCCACTGGTAAATCAATGTCCTCACAAAAATTCCAGTGGAGGTTGGTGAGAGGACTACATTGTGATTACGTTGCTTCCCTATGATGCAACTCTTGGCGAACCACTTTGAAAGGCAAGGCAGGTTTGGTGAGTTTAAAAATTAGAAGCAAAATAAACCTTTTTTTATTAAATAATAAAAATACCAAGTCAAATAAAAAGAACTTGGTTGGAATGCATGGCCATTAACATAAAATCCACGAGTAGCAAGTCGTGCTCTTGCCCGTGGCTCCAAGTGAGGATTTTTTTTAGACAAAAGGATATTTTTAAATTAGATTATACAATCGAGATTAAATTATTTATTAAAAAATTTAAAATTAGATCTTCACATCAATTTTGTGCATCCAGAATAATTTAATAATTTTATTGGGTATTAATCTCAAAATTTAAACTCAAAAAAATAAAAGATCCAGAATCGTGAAAAATAAAAAATAAAAACCGAGGTGGAAGAGCCTAGCCAGTCAATGCTAAATGTTTTTTTCAATAATTATTGCATCATAATAAAACTAAGACACAAAGATTCAATTAAATTATCAGAAGCAGAATATTCTTTGTTGTTTTTAACTATTTTCAGTTCTGGGCCGGGGGAACAAGAAAAACTTTATGTTTTTTTTTTTCTAGATTTACTTGAAAAAAAAACAAAAATTATGACCCATAAAAAAACATCTTAATTTTAAATTTATGTTCCGTATTTGTCTCTAGTTTTTTCTTTAAAAATAGAACCAAGAAGATATCATTGGAAGCAGAACATTTAACTATATCAATATGAAATACGAAACACGATAACAATATAAATGATGGGAAAAAATGAGGACCATGGCCGTCCCCATAAGGCACTCTACAAGGAAATTAAATACTTCATTAATAAAGGTAAGCGCGTGGAAGTAAAAGAAACCTTTGAATATGATAGAATTGACAAGGCACCGCTATGACAAGGAATGGAGAAGACAGGGGGTGGGTTGGTGTTCACCTTGGATCGTTGACTTCGGTGTTGTCTCCTCCACCTACCACGGCAAACTGGCCTTATATCGCATTATCATTTACACGGTTTAACAGCTAAAAGTGCAGTGTGGAAATGATTTTATATATATATATACTTTGCTTTCGATCGTTTAGATTTTGAAGCGACACAATTCAAAGGACCCTCACCTTCTTATTAGAGCAACTCCAACCCAGTGCAAAATGGAGAGTCAACATTTGTTAAAAAAAAATATTTTAGAGTTTTTTGCTTGTTTTTCCTGCTACAACGTAAAAGTTGAATAAAATGCTATTTTAAATAGCATTTCTCTTATAAAAATATTATTTGTGCACTTTTTATAAATATATTAAAATATTATTTATTATACTAATATTTTTTCACTAGTTTTTTTCTTTGATTTTCTTAAATCTATATTTTTTTTATTTTTTAAAAAATTATATTGATCTCATGATCCATATCATGATTTAACAAGTTTATCTTGATTGACTCAGATTGTTTTTTATTTTTTTATAATTAATTTTTTATTTTATTATTTAATATTATATTGATTAAAAATTATTCAAATTTATTTTTAAACCCATTAAATTAATCATGTTATATCAAATTATTAAAATAATTATATATCAAATATTTTAAAATATAGTTAACTCTTCTAAATAATTAAGTTTCCACCATTAGAGTTCATATAAATAAATAAATAAAAAATTTACTGTTAAAAAAATCATATTAATAATTTGGCTATTCTAAACAGGAGATGCTTTTATGATGAAGGGTAGTGGTAGTTATTTAACCTCATGTTTCATTTATTTATAGTTTTTTTTAATTGCAGGCAACAATTAATCAAAGTTAGAATTTTTGAAATAATAACCGGGCCTTGGTCTTTGACCAAAAATACAACTTCAGTCCCTTAAAAATATCCATGATTCAGTATCATTCTCATTAAAATTGAACTGAATGGAAAAACGTGCATATCAAATAAAATTAAAGTTGGTGCAGCTCAAACAAAAATTTATATATAAGAGGGCAAAATATATAAATATAAAAAAAGAAGAAACGATATTTGTCCATCAATCAGAAAAGAATTGGTATCTCTGACATTTTTTTTAACTGACTGGCATGATTATGACGTGTGCACACGCTTGTTGCTTTTATACTAGAAGAAATTATTCATTCTATCATAAATTGTTTTACTTTATTTTTTAAAAATAATGATGATATCATATTTCTGTACGAAGAAAGAATACAGTTATTAATAGACCTAGTAATTTCTGAGGGTATTTGAGTTTTTTTTCTTTTTTAATAATTTCTGAGGGTATTTGAGTTTTTTTTTTCTAACAAAGATTGTTATCTTATTAAATGTTTAAATTTTTAGAATCAATGTAAATCCCATACCCAACTCACAAATCAATTATAGGCACGCCCCCATCTTATCATAACACATTAAATTTGATGGAAAACTTATCAATATATCCTAATATATTACACCACTTATCAGTTATGCCCTTGAAAAAAATAATTGTAATATTTAATTTATTCTTATTCTTTAATATAACACTTTGCAAAATTAATTTCATTAAAATTGACAATTATGTAGACGATATAAAAATGATTTTAATATGAAGCGATAAGAATATATTTTTAAGTCAATAAAATAAACATATATAGTGCAAAGACTTGAATTTGAATAAACTCTATAATATATTGAAACTATCACGTGTTGTGTTGTGTATATTAAAGAGTACATTAGGGAATAAAAATAAATTAAAGGCTATAAATGATTGATTTTTTTTATATAGAAGAGCATGTTTAATAAATTAATGATTCACTATATAAGGATAGAATGATAGTTTTATTTTTTTAAAAAATATTTTTTCTAGTTACATGCGATATAAAAAAAAATAGTTAAAATTGATTTTATTAAAATACAGCCTTTTAAAAACAAAGTTTTTCACCAAAGACTTCGCCAACGTTCAAAATTTTCCAAGGCAGTCAAACTACAATTACAATCCCATGCATGTCATTCTGACTAGGATGTTTTTGTTTATCTCGCACATATTGAAACTAGCTAGGTTCATAACTCAATTTAATTCGGTTAGGAAAAGTCATTCATGCTAAATTTATCCTATTGGTTGGTCAGGAATAAAGAACTTGCGATAATACCTGTCATTTGTCCAACGAGCCACTCCATAGATTTTGAACAACATTTCACTTTGACCGATTTCTAAAAGTTAATCCCTTCGGAGCGGTGTCAATATCTGAGACATAAACCGACCGACATGGCCAGTCCATCCAATGATAAAAAAAATAAATAAAAAATAACAGCCAGCAGTTCAGCAGCAGCAGGTGACATGGCCATGATCTTGTCCCTTCATGTTCGCGGCTACGAGGAGGGGGGGCATGCACGGTGG